CCCGTTCAAAAGACTAGTTAAGGATAAAGCATAAGTGATAGCCAGGGCGACGAGACCTGTAATTAGAACACTAAACTTGGATAAAAATTAAGATGGAGAATAAAAACTCACCTGAATCAACTCCTAGTATCTGGTGTTGAACCACGGCTGATAGAGCTATTGTAGCCACAATGCCGACGGCAATCAGCGATAGTCGTATTGACAGCCATTGACTCGCAGCTAATGAGGAGAATTGCGCTCTTAGATTGACGGTAAGCCTTTCCCGCAATTCTTTAGCAAATCTAAATTGAGAAATGAGAAATAAAAAAATAGTAGAAAATGAAATCGACAGAGAAGTTCGAGCTACCTCTCAACATATCGCTGAGCTCGAATCGTCACAAGACCGTTAACAGTATCACCGAGGTGAGAGTAAAAGGGCGATAAACTTAACGAAGTGAGTCTTTTCAGTTCAACGGTCGTTAGCCTGAAAAGCAGCAACCAGATATAATACAATAAGGCTAACTTAACTTGCTTACTCATAACCCTAACCCAAAAAAATAAGTCCCATCTCCATGAACTCAGTTGATACTGACAAATTCTATATTTTACTTCCCTTAGTATTTTAGAGCTTCAATAACGTAGCAGATAAAGCTGCATTCAGATGTGATTTATCTCAGAATCCAAGGTTTGAATGACTGACCTGTAATATTTCTGAATAAAGTAGTAAATTGTAAGTAAGAGAAGAATGATTGGAGTCATAAGCGGTAGACCCATGATTGTGATCACCATCGTACCAATGAGGTTGAAGAAGGAAGCGAGAAGAATATTAAGCTAGAAAAATTTGTTGCGGTTGAGGAGCACATCAAGCGCATAAGTTGCACTTTTCATGATCATGACAGTTTGGGCGAATAAGAATTATTCAGATGTGGCTTCTGATGTGATACATTCTGCATACTATAACCGATGGGTTGACAAGTTACACTAGTTATCAAATTTGGACTATGAAAGTAAAAAAAGCCCATAGAGAATACTAATAAGTAAACCTGGAACGGCAGATTATCATCACAAGTGTATACATCAGAACAAATTCGATTGATAACGCGTCCAGAGGGAGTCCGATCCCACCAAGACGATGACGCCTGGAGTAAAAATATTTGACTCACAAAGCCAACATCTATCAAGAGATTTTACCTTGAGAAGTCTGTGCAGAAGATTCGCATGAAGATTTCTAGCCGCTTTGATTCCACCATAGGCA